AAGTATACGTGAATAATCAAGAGAAACGCGATAAATGTTAATATATATTGTTATTATTAATATTTCGATCATAGTACAAAGTTTCTGAACACAAAAAATTCAAATAATTATTCTATGGAAACATTAAAAATTGTATTAACTTGTTTTTTCAGGATGTTAGGTTTAAAATAAATTTATATCTTTTTGTTCAATTCGCTTGTAAATAGCATCATAATTTTGTATTTAGGAAAATGTATCTCATACTTTCCTTTCTATCAACACATTGACTTATCATGATGAAATCAATTTTACTCTTTGCAATATTTATTTATTTATATAGATTGTAGTAAATTATATTTTTTTATTTTTAAAATGATGGTAAGTCAATGAGTTAATGAAGATATAGAAATAAAACTTACAAACGAATTAATGGAAAATTACCAAACCTAATATTAAAGTGTAAGGATCTCGGATGCTCGAGATTCTAGTAAACGCTCCATTGAACTAACATCTTTACACCAGCCATCAAGTCGTTGAACCATTCCAGCTATTTGTGTACGATCTAATACACGAGGCTGTACCCATGTCATATTGACGGTTCCTGCTACTTGATCAATAGCACCGCGAACCAAACCTTGAGCTAGAGCCTTCATTACAAGTAACTCTACTTCACCAAGAGGTAAACGAGTTTCCTGAGAAATTTCTGCAAATGTTAACTGCCTGTAATAAAAAATAATTTAATTGACATAGATTGTTTTATATTATTTGACACCTCAATATTTTTCCAATATAGAAAATACAAACCTGTTGTTAGCTTGGCGTTTGAAAGTCATTTCCATAAGGCATAGGAGAGAAATTTTTTGCCTCAATTTTAATTCTTGTGCTGCTAAATCCGCAACTTTACTCCATTGTGGTTTTAATCTTTCAAGTGCAACAATATCACCAGCATTGAAAGCTTGTAATAATTCAACCAACCAAGAGTTTTGTGTACCTTTCAAGGACTGTAAAACAGGATGAGCCAATAATTCTCCAAGATTGTAAACTCCTTCACCTAAAAGTGCAGCTAATCCAAGGAAAAATGCATGCTGCTCTTGTTCTTGTCTACTTAAGCTATTTAAGTCAATACAACCTAGATATCTGAAACACAAAAATTATCTTCAAAGAATGCATATTGTTGAATTGCGAATAAAGCTTATTGTTTGAAACTTCAATATGAAAGTACCTCAAAGCAGTACGATAATATTCAGCATGTTTTCCTTGAAGACGATACAGACGACTGGCTAATAAATAAAATCTACCATGAACTGTTGTAACCCCATCAGCATTATCCAACATAGCTTCTACTTCTTCTATAATCTTTTTTGCCTGTTCTTGATTATTTAACTTTTCAAGTAAAATCTGGCCTATAAGGACTTTGCACAAAGCAACAGCTTCATTACTGCTTTTAACTTTAGACTCAGTTTTTTCCAAGAATTTAATTGCTTCTTGTTTATCTTGAAATTGTTGTATTACATATGCTAATATTTCTACCAAAGATAAAGGGTTTATCCTAAACACAAAACAGTGCATAGTACATGAATTATGTATAAAAGTAATAATAAAATAATGTCTTAAGTACTACACGAGTGAAATAAGTGAGGTTATGCATTAATATTTTAAACAAATGTGTAGATTATACTTACTTGTTTTCAAAGGTAGATAAAAAGTTTGTGTATAACTGTACCAATTTATCTCCCTTTTGAAGCGTTGGATTTTTAACAAATGTTTCTAATTTAAGTGTCAACTGATGCCAAAGCCTGCAAGTCACCGGACAAAGAAAATCAAATCAATTTTTTCTATTGAAACATGCACTCAATTTAAGAAATTTAATAAAAAGTACTTTTTATTGTATAGTTCTTCAAGTTGCGCCCATTCTGCAGCCAATTCCTTGTCCGCAACATTTTGATTTTGACTTAAATATGTATTAACATCCTTCGGTGCCACGGATACCGCCATCTTTAATAACAATGACTAAAGCCGAATCAGCATAATGAATAGTATGTTCAGAATGTGTTCCAAAAAGAATTACTCCATTAACACTATTAATTGTATTTATTTTTATTATATTTAAAAAATAATTTTTGTTATTTTTTGGTGATAAGATATATTATGTTTTGAATAGAAACTATATTTTGGAATATTGAATAACATTGTCAATTATAGTAATTTTATTCATGCTGATACAAATAATTGTCATCACTTGCATATAAATAAATAGTCCAAAATATTAGTTTTATAATATAAATAATTATATTGAGTGCTTACAAAACAATGCAATACAACCTTTAAGTTCGCAACGTATTTAAACTTAATTGTTTGAAATATTCAAAATTATTAAATACTTGAAATAAGTAAAATGCGTAATAAAAATAATACGTATTTAGATGACTCGATTATTAAAATTATAATGGAAAATAATTTGTTTTGAATTCGGACTTTAGTTCCTTATTTGATATGTTTGGTTCAATATACATACATACATATAGTTCGAATGTATCTATTGAAAACAGCTGATTGGAAATATGCGCTAATCAGCCTAATGCATAGTGTTGTCTTGCAAAGCGGGTATTCCTGAAAGGGTTATTTATTCAGAAAATGATGAATTTGAACAATTTAATTTATGATTAGCTTTAATTTTAGTTTAAAGTTTTACAATTTAATGTATAGTACTTTTACACGAACCGTGTTTATGTTTGTATTCTTAAAATGTTAAATGTCCAAAGAATTTTAATCGTGATAACTGTATTGTTCTTTAACTCGTATGAAGTTACTTCTTCGAGAACTGTGTCACTTTCTTCTATTGTTATTGTAGCAGAATACAAAAAAGAATATCAACTTGTCATTAATTCTACTATTGAGTATGTGTTCCTATATCCTGTTGACAGTGTAAGTACAAATGTTTGATACAAATTCATATGATATTTTGTTATATTTTGCATGTAATTTATCTAACTTTGGTTTATCTTCAGGTAAATTTGTTAGAAACTGCAAAAATAGAAGTTGAAAGCAATGCCACTCATGATTTACCTCTTATAGTGGTTGCACGTCAAAAGAAAGGAATCTTATCATGGCAAATTCCTCTTGTAGTAACTAGTATGTATTTTGGTGATGTAGCTTATAATAAAACAAGTCGAATTCTGTGTTCAAATAAATATTACTCGAATCAGTTAGAGGATCAAGAAGAATTTGTTACTGTTAGTTTATCCACTGCTAATCATAGAAATATTTCATTTAAACTTAATATGACAAAAGAAACTCATTTTTATTTAAGGTATGCATATTATTAAATATTGATAATAGATTGATTTTGATTTTTAGATTTGCAATCTAGTTGTTATAAAGATAAAGAAATTTTGTTCTGCCCTTTAGCTCTGGAGAAAAGAGATCAGTTGAAGTTTCTCCATCACAGCCAATTTATTATGGTTATACCTTTTCAGAAGAGGTGGAAAATTCTGTGATTGTTCATATTGAGTCTGATAGTGATATTTGTATGACAGTTTCAATACAAAATACATCAGTGAGTTTAATTCTCTACAATTTTCAGATTAATATATTATTGTCAATTGATGAATTATTTTTTTCTTAGTGTCCTGTGTTTGATTTAGAGAGGAACATTGAATATGCTGGTTATTGGCAAACTGTTAGTCGACAGGGTGGTATTACTGTGCCAGTATGTATTTTTCTTTTTAATGACTAGCTTTTAATACATTTTCCGAAATATATTGTGGAATATAAATAAAACTAATTTTCTTAATTATATTTGTTCCAAAATAGAATAAAAGTTTTACTTTAATTAATACTTTTTAGAAAGAAGACTATCCATTGGGTTTCTTTGTGGTACTTGTAGTAAAAAGTGATGATACTGATTGCTATGGAGCCCGCAGTATGATTTCTCCAAGAAAAAAAAAATTGACATTAACAATAAATGCCAGTATTACTAAGCAAAATTATATTATTGCATCCGGATTTGCAACATTACTTATGTTTGTTTTCTGTTTAATTTATGTTATAAGTGTAGTGTGTAAAATTAAGCGGGAGTCGCTGTATCAAGACTATATTGATGAACCTATACCAAATTCTTCAACAATAAAAGAGGTAATGTATTTATTTATATAAATGGAAGGAAATTTGAATACCAAAAATAAACATTTTTTGCTAATTAAATTCATAATTTGTTTTAGCCTAGATCACATCAATCAATATCTTCAAATGACTCTTCATTGGATGAAGACGACGTTGATATAATGCAAGATGCTTTTTCCGCTAAAGAAGTAGTACGAACAAAGCTTATACTTTCAGTTTGCGATTTGGCTCGCAAAAATCCAGAAATTCTTAGGCATAAATCACAATTATATTTATTGTATTTGATAACAGTTGCTATTTTTTATACTTTACCCGTTTTGCAATTGGTGACAACATACCAACATATACTTCACATTACTGGAAACCAAGATATGTGTTATTATAACTTTTTATGTGCTCATCCACTTGGAGTGGTATCAGATTTCAATCATATATTTTCAAATATTGGGTACATCATGCTCGGTTTTCTATTTATATTTCTAATATACTCTCGGGAACGTAATAAATTCGAGAGAGAAAGGAACAAGTGTTATGGCATACCACAACATTATGGAATATTTTATGCAATGGCTACTGCACTTATCATGGAAGGAATACTCTCAGGAAGTTACCATGTGTGCCCAAATCGAAGCAATTTTCAATTTGGTAAGATGAAAATTAGTTTGTATTGACATTTTAGTGATTCATTACATTTATAATGATTATGTTATTAATGATTGCATTATTCACGTAGATACGAGTTTTATGTATATCATAGTTGTGCTATGTATGATTAAAATTTATCAAACTCGTCATCCTGACATAAATGCACGAGCACCAGTGACATTTGGAGTTTTGGCGTTAATCATCTTCATAGAATTAATTGGAGTTTTAAATGACTCGACATATTTCTGGATTATATTTACAATTCTGCATTTACTGATTTGTCTGTTTCTCACTCTTCAAATTTATTATATGGGGCAATGGAAATGTAGGGATTTTCTAGCACAAGTAATACAGGTAATATTATGCATCTGATGAATTTGATATTTCTCATCTTACGTTAATTTGGTTACTTTTGTTAGGCACAGTTTATCACGGTTTTTATATCTTTCTAGAGCTGTAAATATGATATTCGTTCCCAAATTACGGGCTTGCCTCTACCTTCGTACCCGAAACGATTTATTATGCTTGTCATAGGAAATTCATGTAATGTTGCTCTCGCGATACTTGGAAATATATATCATCAGAAAAATTTTGCAGTCTTCTTGTTAACTATATTAATGTCCAATTTAGTTTTATATATTCTTTTTTATATCGTTATGAAGGTATGTACATACACACGAATGATTATAAGTTATCTATATATTATGCATTAATCTATTTTGTAATATTTCAGATTTGTCATAAGGAACGGATTCGCTTCCAGCCATTAATATATATTATTTTATCAATTATATCGTGGACCGGTGCTTTATATTTTTTCATAACCAAAAATATTTCTTGGGCGGTTACTCCAGCACAATCTCGCCTTTATAATCAACCTTGCAAATTGCTATACTTTTTTGATAATCATGACATTTGGCATTTTTTATCAGCATTTGCCATGTTTTTTTCATTTATGGTACTGCTTACCCTAGATGATGATCTAATCGATGTACATCGAAGTCAAATATCAGTCTTTTAAGGACAATGACACAAACGAAGAGGGTCCTTATAATTTTTTTATCTTTTCCACGATATGACTGTATGTAATGTACATTTGAACTTGATGTCAATGAATTAAAAATAGTATAAAATATATATGTATGTATAAAGATCATTTAGAAACTATTTTGTATTAAACGCCATATTATCGTTAAACATTCATAAAATTTGTTATCATCTATCCCTTTATTTGTAATAAATTGTTCCTAAAGAGAAAATAAGTTTTGATATTTTTTTTATCACGATTGAAAAAATTGCACTTAATACTTTAAAACTTACCCATCGATTACTTTTTTTTTTATCGAGAAAATGGAAAATATCGATGTACATGTTTAATAGTCGTTCGGTAAAGGTAAACGCAACGAGCAGACTTTTTACACTTATCATAAACAAAGGGCACACTTTGCCACAGTTTAGGAGACGGCAGTGATACTGTCTGACACTCGATAATATCACCGTTGAACTTTAATAAGACACAAGTTCATTTGCTTTCTATCATCAAGTAATACTATCGATAGAAGCAATTATTAACTTTCCAAAAATTATACTACTCCCGTACAATTTGCTATTAACAAGAATAACGAGTGTCTGTACAATTAATTCTAACAGGGCTACATACACCAGGTACGCAGATAGACAAGGGTATTTTTTTTTCAATTTGAAGAAACATTAGGACGAAGCACTCGAGTCATTGTGGTGTTCCTGGGTGGTCGTTTCTATCTGTGATAAAGTTCTTTGCAATTCCGCACGTTCTGCTGCCTGTAGTCTGTGTGCAATTTCTAAAATCGCGTTTAATCTCACTTCTGGACAGGCTTCGAGAGCTTCTTTGATACGAGAAACAACCGCGTCCCGTTTTACGCAAGTGATATTACGCGAGACAACACTATTCTCGTCTTTGCGTTGACTTTCCAACCAATTCGTTGCAGCTTCATCTTGATCCCACAAGTAGGATTCTGTGGCACCTTTGTCTTCTATGAACCATCTACGCAACATTGCACCGACTTGTCTAACATCCAGACTTCTTTGTGTTGAAAGAATTTCCTCCCTTATCTCATCTTCCAAAAGTCTTCTTCTAAGTCGCCAGTAAAGCAGTTTGCGTGCCTTTCGCCACGGGATGATATCATGAATCGCGTTTTTCTCAAACATTCTCTCTGGTGTATCATGGAGATCTGCGAAGTGAACTGCAACTTGACGATACATAGGTTCTAAAGTTTGTTCTCTGTTACGTATTTGACTTTCGATTTCTGTCCGTTCTTCCGGCGAATTTGCGTTGGATAATTTTTCCTAAAACGATGATATATTTTATAATATTTTTATTACACGTACTAGGTATAAGCTGTCGTTTACAAGGATTGCAATAAAATTAATTTGCCTGGCGATAGATGTAAATACTTACTTTGAGTCTTTGAATTACATCATCAACCCTGTGCATAGCCTTAAGTATATCTTTAGTCCTAAACTTGATTTCTACTATTCCACTAGCTTCTAAAACTCCACCTCTGCTTGCATTGTCAGCAAACATTTCCATATATCTAGGATTTATCGTTGGATCAACTACCGCCCAGGCACCACCTCTTAATTCTCCGTTTGGTGGAATATATACAAATATTGGTTTGGTATACTCTCTTAAACCATCCACAATATAAGCACCGAATTTTACAATTTGTTCGTACATATCTGAAAAAATCATAAAAACACGTCATTAGTAATTAATGGAAAAAAAAAAAAAAAAATCTTAAAATCGACTAAAAAATGAGTAAAGACCTTTCATTCCACCAGAGAATCCTCTCCAATTGGCAAAAATGAAAAGCGGAAGGTCTTCTCTTCCGAAATCTTTAATAGCTTGAGCAGTTTTGTATGCGCTATCAGGGAACCATACTTGTCCTGCCTGGGATATAGTTTTAGCCTCTGAATCCAAATTAGCAGGATCGGCTGGTAAATGTAATTCAACAGTCCTTGTTTCTACTGCAATAACACCACAAGGAATTCCACCTAATCTAGCTCGTCCAGTTACCACAGTTTGAGCCCAAGGTCTCATTATTTCCTGTAAATATTAACAACACTTAAATACTGACCACACTTTATTAAGTAAACGTTTATAATACAGCCTTATTCACTTCACTTACATTAAACAACCCTGTAGTATTTACAAGCATATAACATAAAACAAAATATATACCTGCCAAGAGCCACGATCGAAGAATCCGCTTTCCCAATAATTTGTACTACTCTGCACTCTACCCTCGAGCATCCACCTTGGATCATAGGCTGTTTTCGTAGGAACATAACTAATTTCTCTGTCAACTGGGTCAGGTGATGGCAATATCGGAGGAGGCGCTCCTTTATATTTGGGACAATAACTCAACCAACTCAAAGCGGTTGCAACACCCTCTAAATCTCTGTCATCAATTGCATGCGACACTCCGTTATTATGCATGATCTGTATACCACCCAACTGATTGTTACTCGCGTATACTTCACGTCCTAATACGGAATTCAACGCCTTGTAACCAGTTAAAATAATGTGAGAATTCTCTATTTGAATGACCCTCTGGCCAAGACGTACTAAATAAGCTCCGATACCGATAGCACGACAAGAGACAATGGAAATTGTGACTATTTCTTCATAGGCCTTGGACGTTTCTCCTGCGATCATACCGGCGTACTTTAAATTCTCCACACCAAGACCATCGTCTTTACCGATAATATCAGTTATTTTGTAACGAGATTCTCCTTTGTCTTCAATCAACGAAGTTTTCACTGAGTTGAGAGATGCTAAACGCAGATAATCATCCGGCGTTAGGTAGATGTACTTGAATCCTTTCTCCGGTTCATTCTCATCCTCCCAGGCGATTCTGAACAGCCCTTTCACTTCCTCTGCCAGTCCAATTCGAGCTCCAGAATTCGCAGAGAAGTATATACGAGGAATTCCAAGCTGCCTGGCTCTTTCAGACGCTCTGCAGAACACCAGATCTTCCTTTGGGCCAAAGGAACCAATTAAATGTGTTAAATCATTGGCAATCAGTATAACGTCTCGACCAGATTCTGGATACTCTGGTGTGTAAAGTCTGAATCTCCAAGCGACCATACCAATGTCATTTTCACCAGGAAGACGTTTTTGTTCCACCAAATTGTCACCTTCTAACACTAATTCTACGCAATCCATTACAGGATTTGGAATTGTTATATCGGCGTTTGGCCTCTCTTCTATGTACGTCTGCCACAGCTTTTCAGTTTGTTGCCTGAACATATCTGGCAAATCGTACACGTAAGTCGTACCAGCGCTCTGTGCTTGGAACCGTTTGGCTTGTAAGTAATCTTTGGTCAGATATGGCGTAGATATTGACAGACCATGCATAGGTCCTGCTCTCCAGACGCCCTTTTCCATTGCAGAAGCACAAGACTCGAAACGAGTAATACCAGTCTTTGGATCAGTTGCTTCTGTATACAAATGTAGATCTATGCTGTATCCACTATCGTTGGCGATGCATAAACGTATAGTGGACGTTGTTTTCCCTGGCGCAGGACGAATCATCATTTTGATCTCAGCATGGCGTACTCGTAACTTCCATAATCTTGGACCATACCTAAGTACCATATTGGTCACACTTTCCTCTATTTTTGCTGGATCCATGATGACCGTAGGTATGAAGTTCAAGAAGATATGGTTACACTCTGTACGCTTAGCAAGCGGATGCGAAAACGCGACTTCTAATTCGTCCATGGCCTCCAATAGAACACGTTCACCCTCGTTGTGAAGATAATCGAAACTGGCCTCCTTCGTGATAAGTTCAGAATGTCTGATAATGGAACGAATAAAGAAACGATAGTCTGTGACTTGCTGCCCTTTGGCAACTTTCGCCTTGCCCAGGTACAGATGCATCTTTTGATTCGCGGTTGGCAAAGCTTCGAGATCGTACGTTCTCATTCTGCTCAGTTCCAATTGGAAGGCGCAGCCGGGCTCCAGATGTCGATAAATCTTGTCTTCGATGAAACCGTCCCTCTGACGGAATGTGAAGAATTTAGGGAATTGTCTTTTTATCAATGCAGCGAACGTCACCCTTCTTATACCGCGCGAGATTAATTCCTCCTTGTTTGTGGCACACCAATCTCCAAACAGTTTCGCCATTGCGACATCATCGAGATTTTCCTTCTCTTGGATAGCAATGCTCAAGATGTGTACCGGTTCAGTGGGTCGTTCGCCAATTTCTACAGCAACACCAGCTTCCGCGGTGCTCAGTGACACGTTTATAGATGTGCTGTGTCTCGACTCGCTTCCAGCTGCGTCCACCGCTTCCAGAACTTTGGCTGAGACTGAGGAAACTGAGGACAGATCCTCTAGGAGATCGAGAACTTCATCAGAGTAGTGGACAAACTGTTCCATATCTTGGAAGGCTGCCATAGCTCCAACTCTGTAATTGACTGGAGACTGATTCTGTCGATTGGGATGATTGTTAGGCAACAAGAATTGGAAATGTACCAACGGTACTTCGCCTGATAATTCTAAGTGTTGCAGACAGGTCAAGTCGTAACTGGTATACGCTCTACGCACGTAAACCTCTAAAGCGGCATTACAAACTGTGCGATTAGAATGGTAGAAGAAATCGTGTAAAATGTCGAAAATAGACGTTTCGGAGAGAATCAGTTTCTGAAGATTCTCTGGATGGAAGTCGTGACCGTACATGTCCACCGCTGACAAGAATATAGACTCCATTTGGTTGTGTCTCAATTCGTATGCAGGTTGGTGAGCAGCAATTAAGACCTGTCTCGCGCGTAACGCTACGCGGCTATGTTCTGTACGATTCAAGCTAGTCAATTCTGTCAACGTGTTTGACAACTCATCGGTGAGGCCAGGTTCATTTGCCCAGAGGTGGTCTATAAGCATAGTCACCAACACGTTCTTTTTCGTGACCTGATTATGACTGAAAATCATAGCTGTCACGGTAGCCACGTCGTCTTTGTGTTGTTCTATTAAAGCTGAGACACATTTATCGTAATGCCCTTGCTGGAACTGGCTCTCAACGGTGTAGTATTGTCGAAGAAGTTCGTGAACAGCGGTCTTCATTCTTCCACGAATTCCGTTTCTGTACCTTTGCACTAATTGCACTATGGCTTCAGTAGTCAAGAAGAATACGTCTCGTTCAGCACGTTTCGAGAGAGTTGCAGCGTGTCCATCGATTACAGCAGCGATTTGTTGACTAGGAAATTGAGCTAAAACAGATGTGATATTCCTCTCGTAGAGTGACATCAATTTTCTGATCTTTTTCTCTACAGAAATTGGAATTCTTCCGGATATCGTTGCGATAACCTCTTGAAGTTCAAGCAAGGGTAAGCTTGGGTCACGAAGAGAGTTCATGAACTTCTCAATAAGTTCTCGTACTCGAGGCAAGTGGTATGGATCTGGCAAGCAATAACCTCCCAGAGTGTTCTCCAAAGCGGTTCTATATTTGGCATGAAGATGGTTCAGTTTTTCAGAAACTACTTGAACCGCGTCTTCTGGGAATTGACCAGTGTACTCTTGGGCCTTCGTTACCAAGGATGGATCGTCCAGTTCTAAATGAGCGATCAAAGTACCAGCCTCGAGAATGGCACCTGGCCTTTTAACGTAAGAGACGCTACCGGCTTCGCTCGCGGTTACCGTCATTACCATTTTCATGACTTCGATTTCTGCATAGGCTTGTCCGGCATTAACGTGACCACCATCTTCGACCAAAAAACTGATTAATTTTCCAGCTGATGGTGACCTTAACAAAGAGGGGTCATTGTCTTTGTCAAAGACGCAAGTTTGATTTCCAATGATAATTCTGTAGCGATCGACTTCTTCCCTCATGTAAGTCGTGAAACTTGCGCCATCTAAAGAGAGCAGTAATCCTCCATCTGACAGTCGGTGTACCTCCATTTCTTTATAGGAACCATTCATAACGAGGAAATAACTATTAGGGCCTGCCTTGGCAGCCAATAATTTATATTTATATCCGTCATTGATGAGTTCAACCTGAAACATTTTGTTAAATTTCATATAACACTTGTAAACAATTTTAACGATCGTATCAAGCATATAAATATAAACGTACGGCAATAACATTGTCCAAGTCATTACTGGCTTGTATTTGTCCCTTCTCCAAACCCGTTTGGAAGCCAGTAAAGGCGGCAGTGATGGTCCTGTCAGCGATATGAAGCGCGCCACACGTTACAGCTAACAATACGTCCGGTTTATCGCTCTTAACCCGTTCAGAGATCAACAAATCGAGCCAAGCAGTGTCTATGTTGTTTTGTTGGAACGATTCAGTTTCCAATAACGTGATCAAATATTCTACGGTGGTTCTGAAATCACCCCTAATGCTCAACTCTTTCAGAGCTATGACCAAATTCTCTCTAGCCTGATTACGATCCTCGCCCCATGAGAAACAATGACCGAATTGTGAGTCTGCAAATTCGTGGAGGCCTCCAGAAGCCCCTACCGAGAAATAACCCCAAACATTCTTCGAGGATCGGAAGTTCAACTCTTGCACAGTACCTGAACTTGGCTTGAAACCTGAAGAAGACATTTATTTTATCGAAACTTTCTAATTTCGGTCATTCCAATTTTTAGTAAATTTTTTCGTGAAAAGTTTTCCTACCTTCGTCAGGATTTTCACTAGTAATTCTCGCTGCTATAACATGACCCCATGGCTGAGGTTTGTGTCGCGGCTGATCGAAATCAATCACGCTATCTCCCCATGGACTTTCACCATAGAGAAGACGAATATCTTTAATATGGTGAAGCGGCAACCCCATGGCAATTTGAAGCTGAGCCGCTGGTAAATTGACATCGGATACCATCTCGGTACACGGATGCTCCACTTGAAGACGTGGATTTAACTCTAGAAAGTAGTATCGTCCAGAAGTGTCGTAAAGGTATTCGACAGTACCAGCGCTGACATATCCAACCATTTTCGCCAATCTTACAGCAGCCTGTCACGAGAGAATACGTAAAAGTTATTTTGCCAAAGGAATAATAATTTCTCTTTTATTTCCATTTCAGAAAATTCTACGTTTTCCGAATTAGATTCGATTAATTACTTTTTCCATCTCTTCGAAAACTTCAGGCTTGGCAATCACTGCAGGTGCCTCTTCGATGATCTTCTGATGTCTCCTCTGAATGGAGCAATCACGACCGAACAACGATATCGCGTTTCCGTAATTATCGGCCAATAATTGAACTTCCAAGTGACGGGCACATTTTGCCAATTTCATGATGAATATCGGAGATCCAGGTATCTCAGTTTGTACCTGCCTGAGAAAGTTTATCAACGATTTTAATAGAAAATCTTCGTCGAAAACGAAAGATAAATTTGATTTTTCGTATAATCATATTATTCTTACCTAAACAACGAAGGCAATTCTTCAGCATTTTCAACTTTTCTGATACCTTTACCACCACCTCCCTCGCTGGCCTTCACCATCACGGGGAAGCCAATTTTATTAGCAGCAGCCAAACATTCCTCCGCAGTGGAAACGCATCCCTTCTTAAACAGTTCCGAAGAAATCTTTATCTTCTTTCCGCTGTACTCGGCCTTCAGTTCAGCACCTGACCAAGGAAGAGTCGGTACTTCCGCAGTCTGTGCAACTATACTGGACGCGATTTTATCTCCAAGGGCCCACATAGCCCTCTCAGACGGTCCTAAAAGATAGTTATACAATTTTATTCAAAAAAACACTTCGATACGATCACTTCCTGAATTAACCCTTTCGCTCTGGTCCGCGCTTCGAACTCTTCCCAAAAGCTAAATCACGCAAAGCCAAGTTAAACAAAAGTGACTGTAAAGTCTGTAAATCTCCGCAGGAATTTTCGATATAAACTCAATATCGGTTAAATTACAAATAATAATCACATCTCGTTTTATCGTCAATCTTTCTCTTCACTTGGATTACTTTTTATCAAACCTCGTATATACGAAAGGGTTAAGAACTTCAACGTACGCTAATGTTTACTTCACAACGATCGTGAGAACCGACTTTTCATTCTCTTATCTTACCAATGAAGGAAATATTGTTCTTATGAAGCAATTCTGGCAATTTTGGATTTTCCGACGCGTGACCCCATCCAGCCCATACCGCCTGGACCTGTGTCCGTATCGCGATGTCCACGATCAGCTCGACGTTTGCATAATTGTTATTGTTGGATCCACCGGGTACAGGCACGTACTGATCTGCCATTTTGATGTATTCCGCGTTCGCCTTCAAATCTTCCGGGGTGACCATCACGACGAACCGCACAGCGCGTTCGCTCTTGAACATCTCGTAGGACCATCGTCGTATCGAACGCATACATTTTACCGCTGCAATTCCGTTGTTCGCGATCAACACCTGTGAATCGTTCAATTCCATATAATACACCAATCTACGACACATTTTTCACCCTGGAATGTACTATATCTCTACTCTTAGTTTTCTTCGGTTTAATAATACATAGTCCGAATGAAAATTTACATATTCGCTCTATATTGCTCTGTATGTTGAATATAAAAATACGAAATGTTGATATCGAAAATTTGATAATTACCGAATTTAACTAAGACAGCATAATCTACTATTAACGATATCAAAATTATAATGATATCAAGGATTGCAGTAGAATATCCTAAGATACTGTTAAATAGTTAAAGGATCAAATTTAGAAAATACTTCTACTCAGTTGATAAGGAAGAGTAATAAGAAAAAAGAAAATGGCGCTAAGGAAGAAGAAGAAAAGGATTTTTCATTTAAATAACGGCCACAATAAGCAGGTAAACGTTTCAAAATGGACATTCACATTACAGAGTGTGCCTAATTTGTGAGAGACAGGAGAGGATATTTCAAAATTCAAATTTGTTTAGAAGGGGAACATTACAACGATCGGGACTCTCTCATTGCCAGTAAAAGAAATGTCAAGCATAGACCAAGGACGAAATGATACTTTTTCGCTTTTTCTCTCTCTTTTTTACGATTGTGTTACGTTGGAAGGTGACGAAACTGGTATGGCAACCTATCGCTGAAGGTCACCCAAGGTCGTTCAGGGTCAATTGCGAAGGTCGTTCGGCGATTGTTGCGGAACTGTACGGCGAGTGCCTCGTGACATACTCGAGCGGAACGCGGCACATCTGCGCGTTGAATGACCTCCTTCTTCTGGTTATTCCGTACTTGTTTTACAACCTAACATCTTCTAACTGTATTACACATTCGTAATAATATATCGTTTCAGAAATGATCGAAAATTTCCGTAATCTCTCTTTTACCGTTGAAACGAAGAAATTTTCGTCGAACAATTGCCGACACAGCGAAATTCTCGTTACTTCGCTCGTTTCTTTTTGTTTTATTTAAACAAGAAAGGAAATTTGAAGAGAAAACAACTGAATTATAAAAAGATTCAGTATTTATGGGATGAAAAAGGAATAGGAAGAGTGTAGAATGTAACGTTTCAAGGTGTCGTTTTTCTTCCAGTTTCTAGAATATTCTAGATTTCCTCTTTTACGTCAGATATCGTATGTTTTTCGCAAGTGGGAAAATATCGTTGATTTATCAATGAATAAATCATAACACGCATCGAGTAATTACATAGAAAATCGTTGAAACGTGATAGAAGAGACGGCGAAAAAAAAGGAAGAAAAAAAAGGAGTAATAAATCTGTAAAAACAGAAAAATATATTCTCACCTTGTTGATAACTCTGGTACCGCCGAAACGATGAACGAATTCCTCAGGTGTAGCAACAGTGAAGTCCTTCTCGTGGAGCCGACTTTGCGTCTGAATCATCACCGTGCCCTGCGACATGCTGGGCCTATAAAATCACATAAAACAATTCGTTTTCATCGTGTATACGGTAATCGAACGATCCAGTTCTTCTTCTCTTCTCAGCCGGTGAAATAAATCAGCGGAAGAATCGGCTGAAATCTCGCAGCAAATATCGTCCGAAAATTTTACTTGCCGTTGTAATCGCACATCGTCAATTCGTGAAAACAACAATATTCGTCGAATAAGATAGAACAAAGAATAGTTTTCTCTGATATACACAGGTTACGCGTGTAGGTTCGTTCGATTCCACGTAACGAAGATTGAGAAAAAGAAGCATGTAAAACCTGGTGAAAAATCGTCTCGACTGTTTTCCCCCCGATTTTCCAATGTGACTTTTATCATCCATTAGCGGGGAATACGTGAATGACAGCAGAGAAAGTATACGAACCGTTAATTTAAACGGCTCACGCAATGCCATTCCTACAACTCCGTAACGCTTTCTGAACCTTCCATTTATCTCGCCTAGATACGTTTTTCTTATCCTTACACGAGCATTTCTCTTCGTCCACCTGCGTCGCCCCCCGTTCCTAACATCGCAGGCTCATCTCGCCGGTAACGGTGATCAGAATTCAACCATTCATCCACGTGTGCTTCTTTCTCCATTCTCGAATTCCTCGTCTGAATAAGAGAGCTGCAAAACCCTTTTTCAAATTTTGTCCCACAATACCAAAGTTCATTCTTCAATTTTTCGAGATTGGAGAAAAATTGTCAACGCCGCGGAATCGTGTGTAGACGAAAGTCGAGAGAACAACACCGTGTTATCGTTATCTATACTCGAGGAAAGTGTACTGGAAGAAATTGTACTTTTTCGAGTTGTTACAACAGCGAACAAGGGTCACTCGTGTGCAATTATCCAATTATTTTCTGTAATCTAAATATTTAGCTGAAAATATTAATGTTTTAATATATACGTGTATTGCAAGTGGGTTGGACAATCTACGAAAACGCGCAGTTCAATCAAAGTAGCGCGGAAACAAACCAAGGAATTGCTCGAGCAAGGACCGCATTTGGCAGAAGGTCGACAAGCAAACCTCCATGAATTTTCGACAAGGTGTATAAGTAAGGACTGATGCGTTGCCACCGTGTGTACGATGCCTTTCGTCCACTCTTCGGTCCACCGTTTCAAGGATTCCGGCGCGGCGGAATCGTCAGATGTTGGAAATGAAAAATATCATACGTCAACGAAATTCGAGGGAAAGCTTACAACAGTGTCCACAATGAATACGAAACTCGGCGAACGGAAGATGTGTTCGACAATGATTCACATCTCCACGCCCTAAAATTTTCGAAATATTTCTGACCATTTAAAAAAATTTCTTTCACCTGACGATCAATGTTTTTTCAATTCCTGTCTTTTCTAGGTAAATTGAATTTGGTATGTCGATACAACGCTCAATTTTTTTTTTTTTTATAAAATACATAAGATTTTATGTGACGATGAATTTGAGTTTCTGTGTTTCTTTGGGGGGGTAAAAATGAAATTAGGTATGTCGATGCAAGTCGCTTATTGAAAGTGATTGTGCTTATGAAAGCCCGAGTTTGGAAAAATAACTTCTTCGACGAAATATTTCTGCCCTTTGAAGAATTTCTTTTACCCGACAGTCGATTTTTTGAATTTGCTATTTTTTCTAGGCAAATGAAACTGGGTATACATCGATGTGACACTCAATTTTTTCGATAAAAAAACACAAAATTCTACCGTGCAAATATTCGAGATTTTCCAATCGGAAGAAAGAATACACCTGTGACGGCGAAGGCTCAGAAGCGCGTCGAGAGTAAATAAAACTGTTCAGAAATGTAAACGTCCAAAATGGGATTACACACTATCCTCGATAAATATGAATTGCACAATGTTAATACAGCAAAATGTATTACGTTAATCCAGCGGTTGATCCTGGCTTTAGGCTTTTCGCTGAAGAAGCCATTTCCGTTGTCGTTTCCGTGTTTATATTCGATACACCAGCGGACAAGTTGTCGGAATTCTTCCGAATCGGCTCCTTTTCTGCACATTTAGCCCCGCCGATCCTTTTGATGAATCTCATTTTGTGTACCCCTTCTATCGAGTCCTCTCCATCTCAGAAAACCCACGAAGTTGCGACATTTCGTCGATGTAATATGAATGGTCGTGATCCAAACGAAATAACCAACTTTATTTCCTTGTAATTTTCCACTTCGCTGGAATGCTAATTTCAAATTCCTTCTTCGAGCTTCTCGAAAATTCGCTCTTTTAAAAAAATCGTCACCTCGTCACACTTCAATTTCTCGTATCGTCTTCTTCCAGTTCGAAATTTCTCTCTCAATTTGAAAATATATCGAGAACTTATAAAAATTCCAAGTTTCACAAAATTCACGATTCTTATCGACAGAGGAGAAACGATATTCCGCTTTTCAACAATCACACATCTTCGAGAACTTCAATTTCCACGGTTAATCGAAGATTTCATTTCCTCCCGTTAAAGGAAACTCTTTTTCTCGCTTTTCACCGCGCGAATATTGGATTAACGCGCGATTCAACGAAAACGAAGAACTTCCGCTTTCACCGTACACCTTTTATCGGTGACCGTCGTCCGCAAGGTGCGCACGAACAACCAACGCACGCTCGAAGATGCATTTGAACTTTTCTCCCACATGTTTACGGACATTTATTTCAACGAGCGGCTACGTCACCAGACCACGTCTCCAAAAAGGAGATCCTCCACTATTCTTCATTTTCTTCTATAAAAAAAGTAACGCGTATGACGTTCGTGAATCATTTGCATTCCAATTTAGACGTTACGTCAGAATACCGATGATAATATCGATGTTGTCGTCAATTTATCAGGTTTATCAATATTCAAGAACCTTCCAATTTATCGTTGAACATCAAATACCAATCGCACAAGCCACGCGTACACTCATTTTGCGACAGTAAGAATTACACCATCGAGAAGACACTATCTTTGTTAAATTTAATCATCCAACTGATAATCACCACTAACCGATCGAATTATCGCTTGACAGCGGGATTTTTTATTTTTCTTTTTCCTCGATAAACGATCTAATCAACGCGAATGTTTATTTTTAACATTCGCGACAGATTTCTCGTCCGTATCACAGCCCCGTGAATTTAACGTAGAAACGTACCGACTCTTCTTCTCGCCGCGGCAACCGCGGACATCAAAACAAACGTTCGACATTCACAGATTGACTCGTGGTCACTGGCAATCAGCAACGTGGTGAACGATACCTTTCATCCAATGTTCCCCCTACCAGGTAACACGTTACTCGAGGAAGCAACGTGTTTCAAACCGGAGAAGTGAAGGATCACAACCAAGAAGACGTATGCTTTTCATCGTTCTTTCTCTTTCCTCTTTTACGGTTGTTGCATTTTTCCTTTCCTTCTCCTCCCGGCCAAACCATTCGCCGGTATCTTCGTTAAACTTTGTCCGGGATTTTCGAGGATCAACGAGTCACGTAACACCCGCGGGGGAATTGTAAATTTGCCGATTAACGGAACGATGAGGAACGATAATAATTCGTTTCTATGGAAGCGAGGTCTTTTTAAAATTGAAAAACTTCGATACGAGGAGAAAAATTTGAATAAACAAAACTTCCGTCATTCTTCCGAATTTATTCAATTTTTCTAATTTTATTTTCGTGCCTATTGAAGTGTCGATGCAAATCTTTTCTGCTTTTTCTTCGAATGGTAATTAAATTGTTCCAATGGTAATACACCGAATGTTTCGTCTCTGCGATTATCGACAAATTGTGGAAAAATTTTCGCTCGTTGGTTGAAATTGTCGTCCGAAAGAAAAATGTGCGGTGTTTTGTACGACCGTTTGTTCAATTTTACTACGATTTCTACGATGTCTTCGTATTCGGGACACGTCACTTCCTGATCGAAATTAACGGAAGAATAATAAACGATTACTTAACAGGCTGAATATAGCGACATCGGTGTCGAAGTAACTGGAAAATTGCACGTCACAATCGTACACAGTCCACGGGCCAACTTTCATTAAGGGAACGTGCGCATCTTTCGTGTTTAGAGATAGCAATGAATACGACCTCCGAGATTATTACGGCTACTTAGGCGAAATAATAGACGATTCTGATATGGCATTAACTCTACGCAACAATTTCGCGCAATTATCGTCGTCTACTTAACCTTGATTCTTAATACAATATGTGTTAATTAGCAAAAGAACGCGTTTTTCTAATATTTTCACATATTCAACCGAAGCAAGAGAAATTCTTAACGTCGATTCCTAATATATTTCAATTATCAAAAAATACAAAATTTCGCGATACTCGAAACGTAAAATTTAAAAAAAATTACGACTTTCTTGGTTTACTTGACGGAGAAGTATTTTCTTCCCATTCCTTTCGCGTCGAATTTAAATAATCGAAAAAAAAAAAATGTACAACTCTTCAAAGTGTATTCAACGCACGGAAAAAAGTTAAATTGGTCACGGAATGTTTTGTCCAGAAATTATAATTCCATTTCAAGAATGCAAACATCACGTAGCCGAAGTTAGTTTTTCTTCTTCTTTCTTTCAAAACATCACCATAATTGCGTAACCGTGTGACATTTTGAAATCCAGGTTATCAGCCTGCGTCAACGAAGGATCTTACGTTATGATTTTTATTCGTAACAACTGATTTAAGGTTCAAGAGACGCGCGCCTCGCGGACCTCGTTTTCGTATTTGAAATTCAAACCACCGGGATAACAGTTGTAAATACTGTAGGAGTTCAAAGTCTGCTGTGGTGCAATTGTGATTCGTCCCGGCTTATCTGATTGTCGCTGATTTTATCGCGATGCATCGTGTTAGAAAATTGTTATAGAAAAACTTGCGAACAATCGTAAATAAACATTTTATCGACAAATTCCTTTCTTTACGAAGATTACAAAAGCGACGTATATACTTGCGGAAAATTATAGAATTACTCCTTTAATTCTCGTCCTCTCAATTCAGATTACTCGATGTTGCAATACAGAAAAAGAAGGAAAAAAACAAAACAAACAAAAGCGATGATTGCGAGAAGTTCATTGCCTTCGTAACAATCAATGATTTATAGTACGAAAAAACGCGATTTAACTGTTCCGACGAGATAATGAATAAACGGTAACAACATTTCAGAAAACGAACGTTAGTTGAATTTTATCTCGCGGTATAATTCAACTGGATAATAACGAGAATTGATTTTCGAGTAAAATCTATTTCCATTTAAAGTGCAACTTAATTTTTTCTTCTTTTTTTTTCCAAAGTCATCGAGAAGTCGAAACGTTTGAAACTTAATTGTTTCATGAATAACATAATGCCACTGGTAATTAGGCTTCGTTTATGCAGTTACATAACGATCACTATTTCCGCGGTCCGTTCAGGGAATGATTTCTAATCTTTAGCCCACGTTATCGTGGATCATGCCTGAAGTAATCGTCCAAAGTCCCACTTTCGGGCTTTACGAAATTCTAATGTGCGTTAGAATTGTAATAGAAGGAAGAAGAAGAAAAAAACGAAACGTACGATAGAACCGTGATCTTTACCACTGGAACACGAATTTTTTCCCCGATATTCGTGACGTTCTCAGATATCCCGAAATCACATCGAGAATTTTATCGTTATCTATAAACTTGAGAAATATTGCGCACGTGGACGTGCGTACGAGAGAAAAAGAACGAAAAAAATAAGCGTAAGAATTCTTCTCTTTTTTCGATCCGTATAGTTACACGAATAAAAAAGAAAATGCGTTCGTGAATATTCAATGACCCTGGGGCGAGTCAATAAGGTGACTCTATAGTTCGTTGCTCACATAAATGAAAATTCTTCACGTAACACCGACAGCTTGTTACAAAATCAAACTACACATCTAACATGATCCAGAGTCTAAGGTGAAAAATTACGTAAAACGGTATACTGAAACCCAACGATATGTACCATTTTCAGCGATAAACGCAGCGATTAATCATCCCCAACGATCGATAAAGATCTTGAAAAGAAAAAAACTTCACCGCTAGTAGTACATTTACGAAACGTTTAAGAATCATTGTCACAGGCGAAGGATAATTGTCTTCTCTAACTAACGAGCAACGGTCGTTGCCTCTCACGATTCAAGAGGATCATCGTCCGGCCGTTGTCTGTCTAACGAAAATCTCGTCGATGACACTTTTCCAACCTTCGCTCTCTTTCTCCTTTCTCTCTTTCTCTCGCAAAGTTTTCACTTTCGAACTGCCCTCCTAGCAGTCCTCCCGTCGAAGGATCTAAAAAACTATCTCTCCCCTTGGAACGAGACAAGGAGCCACCTGTGCCTACACCGGAGGATCCTCGAAAGGATCTCCACAGGTCGAGCGGCGAAAGTGTGACGAGGGTCACCTCAATTCTCGAGCACGCCGTGTAACTCTTTACTTCCCCGGGCGTGTGCGCGCGAGTTTACCTGTGCTCACCGAGCGGTAGAGAGTACTCTAGAAGAAAAAAGAAAAAGAAAAGAAAAAAAAAGAGAAGAAGGGAGGTAAAATCACCTGAGCCGCTTGCGGCGTTCGAGCAGGCCTGGCATCATATTCAGCTGCAACTGGGATGAGCTGTTATCGTTTCCCTCGGACGGGAAGATATCCTCCACCTCCAATTGCTCGGTGGGATCATTCTCGGGCTCCCCGACGACGAAGCTCACTGGATTTTCCGACATGGTCGACTTCTCGTGTTTGTTCACACCCTCTGTCGAATTCTGCTCGTCGCCTGCCTCTCTGTTGGCGTCACCTTCAAAAGATTCGACACCGGTTCGCAAGTCAAGATCGACTTATAGCTTGCAGCAGCGCGAGAGTCCTGCGGATCCCGTTGCCTGGCGTTTTGCGTGACATACATAGGTACATTTATAAGTGCGCCGCCGCGTTTTCTCCCCATATAGCAGGCTCGCGGCGGTGTCGTTTCCGGTTTAGCAAAAAAGGGCCACTCTGATAATCTATCGTCGATAGCTTTTGTGTAGTGCAATTATCACTGTCGTTTTACGAATTATACTTTACGAATACTTTTTTTTTTTTGTTAAATTCTAGTTCTGTCACAAGATTGGATCGTGAATTTGAACGTTAATTTATTTGTCTCTATCGAAAGGTTAATGTCAACTTGATCTATGAGTCTTTTGCAATTTCAATGGTAATTTATTCGTAATAATTGGAAGTTTAAGTAATCGAAGTAGAGCCAATCGTATTTCCTCCATCATAGAGCTTGCAGCGATCTGCTTGATCCTCGAGAATTTTCAAAGATCGAAAGTTTTCCACAAGTACAGTCGATGCATCATTTTTTTTTTTTTTTCAAATTTCTATGAGTGGCCCTCGATTCACGGAGTCGTAGGCAAAAGTTCCAAGTGACGTGGCCCAGAGGTAGTCATGCCAAATAAGCCGCATGCAGTTTCCCCAAAAAAAGCGTTTCTCCACCAAAATGACCCTCGCTCCGGGTGCTTGATTCCACAATGCAGTTATCGTTTGCATACCAAACGATTTTCCGACGAATCGGCCAACTTCGGTGTTCAATGAGCCCAACACGAAAGGGAAGACATGCAAACGAGTGGTTTAAGGGTGTGTGAATATGGCACGAGAAACTATCGTGAGGTACGATAAGTTTCGACGCGAGAAAAGTGATCGTGTTGAATGATTATCCTTGTCCGTATTAAATATTATTCACACATGACAAACATTGCGAGCTGTCATCGGCACACCAAAGCTACTATATTTATGCTAATTACACTTTGTCTGTTTTAGTAGTTAATCACTTCTTTTTGTCAAGCATCGAAAATTTGTTAATATCGTCAACGAGCATCACATTGACACACGGCGTATTAATAAATTCGAATATCCACAGATAAGAATCGCGTTCGAGACACTTGAGATACCAAATCGATGGTAAGACTGACTACATTAAAAAAAAAAAAAGAAAGAAAGAAATCGAAAGTTCGAAATCCACAAAATTACTCGGTTTTCACCCAACGTACAACGACAATTTTCACACAGCGGTTCTAAACACGACGGTGAAACGCGCGCGATGATTCGAATAGATAGAATTTCTATAATAAACGTGTATATTCTATTTAATAGCGTCGTTCCAACGCTATTTATAAAGTAACGATCGACAAGGTCGTAAAGTAATCACACGGTCAGTATTAGACCGGGCACCGCAATCGATTTGTTGAATCTAATCGCGGTTCACCGACACTACGTGCTAACTCCGCTACCGACTTGCATAATCGTGCCTATAATATCTTTAAAATTCATGAACGAACTTCCAGGCGACAGAACTTCCCTACAGGTGGGCCTCGCGTTTGTTAGTGATATACTCGTGAATGAAGATTAGTCACCGCTGTTTAAACATCCGCTGTTTCTCTCGCGCCTGGTTTCGACAGATTGGGGGGAGGGAAACACAAGAGGGGGTGGGGGGAGGAGAGAGAGAGAGAGAGGTCACCAGGCATAAAGAGCCCCCAGAAAATCAGAACCGATCACAAAGGATTAATCAACACGGTCCCACGCAACGAAAAACACCATCGTTGACCGTGAAGATCTCGAGGAGCATGGATCGCGAGGGCTGGATAACTCGAAATAAAAGAAGCATCCGCAAAGTCGAACCGAATATTCGCAAAAGCCTAAGTGTTACTCACCCTCTACAGCTCTTCTACCAATGTACACCAAATGAAATGTTCGAGATACTTCGGCCCACCACCCTCGAAGTCGATCGTTGCGAATCTGTCCAAAGCGTACGTATCCGCGTGTTATCGCAACGAACGAGAAGCCCAAGACAAGGGAGGCAAAGAGAAGAGTGGTGGAGGGAACACTTTGGGTATCACTTCGTTGAGCTTGATAAAAACCTTGAAACAATACGCAACAAGGATCAAGCTGAATGTCCCCCTTTCTTTTTCCTTCCTCTCGCGAGAAAACGAGAAAAAAAAAAAATTCGTTCTTTTTCGTTTCGCGCGGGGATTCGTGAATTGTAGGTTAAGTTTCGGAAACTGGTTTCGCTTCACCCCCTCGCGTTATCTATACCGAGCGAACTCTCCAACGTAACGATCGTATACCATGACACAACCGATAACAAAACTGTCCGAAGCGTTTCGTGTCCGCGACGAACTTGGACCGAGTAATGGAATATTACACGAACCTTGGAGCCTTCTGATATGTGTCCTATACTATGAAAAAAAGCGAGGAGAGACCGGTCAAGATAGGGAGAGCACGGTTGCGGTACGTGTTTCAGTTACGACCTACAAAATGGCAGCAATATTTCATTCAAACCGGAAGGCGATCAAATGGTTCGTGTGATATTCGAAACGCTTCGAGGAGAACCGCATCGTGTGTGTTCATCATGAATTGTATACTAAAAACGCGGAGTGTCCGATGAATTTTACTTTTTTTTTTCTTTTTTTTTTTTTAGGAAATGATCGATGTACCGAAAAAAGCGTCCAGAAGACCTCGAAGCATACCAGACACAGCTTCCTCCCTCGGATGCCTGCCTGCGTCTGAGTCCTTGGAACGAGCGTGTCTCTCCTTCACTCTCTTATACGAATCTTCTACGTCGTTTTTCTTGTCCTTTAAAATATTTCCACGAGAATTACCGACAGACAGAGAAAAAGAATCTTCTCGAGTGACAAAACAGTTTGAGAAAGAAAATTGTGAATAAAATCAAATCGTCGCTAGAGATGATTAGTGTTGTGTGATCTTCAAACGAGCAGCAACCAGTTTGCTCTCTCTGTTTATACCGTGGTGGAATCTCGCTACAGAGACACTCGCGTACCGTTCGTTCGTTCGTTTGCTATTCTGTTTTCCTAGTTCCTATATGACGCGTGATCAGGCGTTCGAACGGCGAGACCTCGTCATCATCGTGCTTTTCTATTACTACACTTTGTGTGCCTCACGACGACGAGCACTAAAGGAGATACGACGACACACTGGCGTACACGCTGTACCCGCGATACCGCGCCACTTCGTGAATACGCGCGCGAGAGGCCTACGGAGGAGAGGAAATCGACGGACGACAAACGACGAAACACTTGAACGGAGAGAGAAGAGACTTTGTGCACGAGCCGGCTCGACGATACAAGAAAAAAAAAAAAAACCGGACGACAGGGTTCAGGGGTCGTCGGACACCGACGACAACCGTGTTCCTTTCCACTGGACTTTTCGCGCGCTCTCTATTCGAACCGATATCGCGGCCGAACTGGCGTGCGCGCAGCTACACGCCGAAGGTACGTGTGCGTTTACACACGCTTCTTACGAGGTTTTCGACGCGCGCTCGACTTGGACACAGCTGACACTACTGGAAGATACTTCTGAAACGTTTCAAGATACTTTTGCTACCTTCTTGGCTACACATTCTTTCCTTCTTGTATTCTTTCGCTTGATCGGTGAGGTTTCTCCAATTTCGTATTTAACTGTTTACGCTACTTCGGTTACTTTGGACTGTTTCTCTTTGTTTTCTTCGGGCTGTATCAGGTTACAGTTTGACTTTGAATCTTTTTTTCTTTATGTTACTAGTGTGTTATTGTTGGTGTCGATAGGAAGTCAAACGTCGAGTAATTGTAAATTTTGAATTGTTCTTCCCTTTGTTCATTTTATACGAATTGTTGTTCGAATTAGATATTCTTTTATTTTCAAGTTTTTTCTTGGAATACATCTATCGGTGGTTATTTTTGAATTATTTAACTAACTATTGTTTTCATATAGGATTTTCAGCATTATCGATGTTTATTTCAAGGTTTTTCTCGTATAGTTTGATGTTGATCGGGGTCGACTGAAAATTCTTGCTTTTTTTTCATTCGAATCGATTCGCTTCCCGAGACTGCTGTTTCTAAATGACATTCACGACGTCATCTTAAATGAATTTCAATCGTCATAAACATATTCGTAGCTTCGCTGTGCACTTCAGAAACCGATGTAGATATTACAACGAGGAGGAAGGACGCGAGTATCGTTGTTCACACGTTCTGGTGACGTCCATGCGTTAAGTAGACGCAGATGCAATGTACATACGCATCGCACACTGGACACATTCTACACGGAATGTTATGTAACACGTATTATTTTACATTACGCAATAAATATGAAAATCTTCGTGACTATTACGACAACTGATTTTCATAAAACTTTGATCTCGATAGTAATGGCTTCGTTAATTTTCTTCTTATTCTTCATGCCTCTCTCTCTCTGTTATAGCTTCTGTGTTGAAATATTTCCACGTGTAAGAAAACATCTTTTCTCTCCGTTAGATAATGAACAAAATTCTATTTGCAAAATTTTCAATATCCTCACGTCGAAATAATTCATTTATTCATCTTTCGTCGAATTAAACGATGAATAAATTCTACTTTCGATTGTAGTCTTCTCGAATTTTTCACGTTCGAGAATAAATTTCTATCGTGTGATTAAGCGAGAAATTTTATTCTTAAAAATTTTCAAATTTTTCTTTAAAAATTAACTCTTCGTTTGTAACCGTTCGAAAAACAATTTCTTCGCGAATTATTTGAAATTACTTCGATTACTTCGATAAGTTACTATTCGACTAAAAAATCTACTGTGCACAGTTGTTATTGCGTTCGATCGGGACGAAACCAGCTGTTTATCAGCCAAAACGAGAAAGCCGTCGTGATAATCGTTTGTAACCGAAGAGCGAACGATTCCACTCTTGACCGCGAGTGCCGCGTGCTCGATTCGTGACTTTTATGAAGAATCGTGTGATATTAAGCCACGAATCGAAAACTGGCTGGGAACGTGTTCCTTGGTTATCAGAGGCACACAAGCTGTGTATCTGACTAGGCGCATCGTGATAATGGCCTATATGTAAACAGACTGTCCCTTTGTGATTTTCATCATTGTCACGTGCACCAGTTCCTTTAAGTGATTTTTTTCGTTGTTCTTTCTTTCCTCTGATATTTCTCACAATGAAATTTCCTTTACGATCACTTGTCGCGATTCTTTTTATAAAATAGAGAAAAATTAGATTAAAAAAAAAAAAAAAGAAATTGAAATATATAATTCAGTTTGGCTGTTTGAGGTTAGGGTAACGATAATTGTAAAAACATCGAATTGAAAAGAAAGTAACGTTTGTTGAATAGTTTATTGCACACTCGACACTCTGTCGAACTGTAAGAAGCATGGAGACAACGAAATGCAATTGTTCAGTATGATGAATAATTAAATCTACGTCAGCAACCGTATTTATACGTTCGAGGCCGTGAGACAGTACACGCTTGACAGTAATGTGTTAATATAATATATGAGGAACTACAGACGTGATAAAGCAACTAGTTACCGATAACAAAGGAAAAGCCAACTATGTACTTCTTTATTAATCATGTCAGCTCGTGAGAAAGAGATTTTTCATCGATTCGAAATTCATCAATATACAGTCCATACGATTGCCTTGTGAAACTGGTAATGTATGGACGATAAGGTAGTACCATAAGCACGTGTCGAAAGGTGAACGACGATAATTGTAGATGTATTTGACATAATCTCCAGGCAAGCTTCCGCAAACAACCACGATCAAAATGTTGGCATTTGTATCGTAACGAAACGAAAGATTCTCTCGACAACTGGTGCACACTTTTAAATTTACAAATCGACCTATTTTGGTAAAATTAGCTAAACGTGCTTTTTTTCAAAGCGTTTCTGACGTTTGCAATAAATTATTCGCTGGAATTGGACCAATCAAACGTGTGAGAACGAAATTTAAATATAACTTACAGTTTGGTTAAGAGAAGTACAAAATATGATTAAGAGTAATCTTAGAAGGACATTTGATGTCGAATTTAATGAAGCAACAAAGAGATTGATTATCTTATCAATCACGTGAATTTAGAATTCCATAAAATCACATGATTTATGTAGCATCGCTCATTGATAAATGCAGTATCGCTTATTGCATAACAGACAAAACGCGTATTACGATTAACGACAACACGTATTACACTTGCCAGCTAATGTACGAGACGAATACATGTATTCTTTTTTAAGTATTGAGTAAATACTTCCTTTGAGATGCTCGAATTTTTGATCCACATATTTCCACTGTACTTCTTTTGTTCCTTTTCTAACTTCGACTTTCCTGTTGACGATGTAAAGTATTAAATCGCGAGGAATGTGAGTAGGAGAAAAGAACTCAAACAAAAAACATCAACTTCGAGACGATTTCTAAAAAGTGTGCTGTTTCATCTACTTAGAAGGTCGATATCAATAGATATCGTTGCTTACAAATCATGAATAAAGATACGATTAATAATACTCGGAAATATTAAAAATATTGAGATTGGTATCTATGAAGGAGAAAGATAAAACCATGTCCAGTTTAATTAAATATAATCGAAAAAGGTTTGTAAATAAGTTATTTTGTCATCAATGAATTCGTGTCAACTATTAGCGTATTTCAACTTGGTGAAGCACTACGTAGGCACACGGAAGTGTATGCCTCTTGATCCGATAAACGTATTGGCGTTATGATTCGCTTAGGAATTACGTCGAATGACGATCGAATGATACTTTTTTTCATTTGGTATCGTAATTATTTACATATATTTAGCGGACGTAAACTCTATGGATTTTCACACAAGGCAATCAAAAAATTGACAGAGCGCTCTCATTGGTTGATTGACGAGTCAGGCGACGTATACTGTATTTTGATTGGTCCATACAAAGCGTGCGGTGTATCCAAGGAACACGCGTCATCAACCGATGTATACCGAATACAGCTTTAACACTATTGTAGATGGAAATTTTTAGCGTTATATTTAAATGATTCTTGACAAGAAAAATGAAAACCGTCACGAAAATGAAAACAAAATAGGTACTCACCGGTGACGAATCTTTCGCGGTGGAGTTGCACGTTCCGCATCGAGGTTAGGTTCGTCTATCCCTTCGTGTTCTGCCATTCGATATAGTTCTGCTCACAATTCGACGTAAAAAAATGTAACACGGCACTGGTACTGCCCGATTATAGTTCGATAATGATCGAACGTAGTCGGTCACACCGTAGAAAATTATTGTCACCTTTTAAACATGAATTTTTTTACTTCCGCTAAGGCACGTAACCATGGCGCAACATGAACAATTCATATACCGACACTGCACCACCTTCGGGTTCCACTGTTGATTTCTGCACAACGAAGGTTCTTTTATCGATAGGGAAGAACCTTTCAGTATCGTGTTCTGTACCTAGAGGTCAGGGTCCCACAGGTACCGGTAGTTTTAAATCAAATTACCTGTCATTATGGACGTGGCTACATTAAATACGAATTTACTTGGAAATATTATTAAAAAAGTATGGTTCCTTAAGATATGCGTCTTATAATTTCTAAGTTCATGAAATTAGTTTACAACTGTATAATAATTCTCGTTCATTTTATAAATAAACTTTCGAATTGAACGATCTAAAAATGATAAAATAACCTTTATTTATTGATATAATACATTTTTATTAAGTTTATGAAACTTTTATCTCATAAAAATTAGATGTTACACAGTTTTGAAGAATGGAATTTGAAATCATCGTCTGGAAAAGTGAGGTACAGTCACGTAGATGTTACATTGGTGAAAAAAGACACTATATACTACGCGATACAGGTTACGAATTATGGACAATCCATAGAAGATGTTTTATCCTTTTCCAAGAAAATATTTTGGGATTTTGTTACTACGAATGTTACTTTTAAAAACTCACTGGTTGCTACAGTGCATACTAAGAATCAACACAGTGACAGTCACGAAATACTAGACTTACGTTTCGTACGAAATCGATTATCGTTAGTTGAAAATACAAATGATAAGAGTCTTATTAATTTTCTTTATCAGAAAAAGTACTTATCGTTCCTGTTAAAGGTACTTATGTTATATAAAAGATATTAATTTACCTTTTTGATATTGATAGTATAGTTATTTATTTTTCCAGAGTATACACACTTTTATTTATATAGATTATCTTTATACATTACAGCATAAAATTAAACTTTCTGATATAGAAAAATTGACAAGTACTACCTTGAACGAAATAATTGTACTGCAACAATTAAATCCTAATACAAAGTTCACGGTTCACGTTAATGAAAAAATGTTATATAATAATTATATTCCATTGGATAATGATTACAAAACGAGTCAAGTGCTTGTTATCGCATTGACAAATATCATTAAACACAGTTTAGACATTCAGTTCAAGGAAAACTGTTTTTCTATGTTGAACGTTGACAATTCACACGAGGTGGAAACTGCGCTTATGATGAAGTTATTACCACTAATACATGATAATTATACATTCTCAAATGGTAACTAAATGATTAATAAATATGAAGTGTTACCAATGCAGAAGTAAAAAAAAATAATCACCGTTGCTACACTGTATTATTTATTACATTTTTATTTTCAAGTCATAATAACATCCCTTCGATCATAAAATGTAACCAACTCGATACTAGAAATATCTTGTACTACAATAGCATATTATACTGGCTAGTTTAGTAAACAAAGCAAATTTAACACAAGTCAGATTCAATTATTCCCGCCAACGGTAAGTGTACACCGGCAGATCCTGCGCAAGTGTAGTTGCGCATAACAAGCGTAGCATTCATTCTTCTCCCAGTCAAGACGCGAGGGTCAGGTTAGGCAGGTTGAGCTGACAGCGGAGAGCGGAAACAGCGTTTCGTTCTAGCTCGTAAATGAAGGTTAACTTCGTCGCGAACCTAGTGAAGTCCGTGGACAAGAAAGAAGGCGATGCCACAGCAGAACTGTCAACAAGATCTCCGTATTGGTTTACAAGTCTCGCGGTGAATTAGCCAGGGACAAACATGGCTCGCGTTCCGGCAGACGTGTGTTTTTCTTCGTGGTGAACCTCTGTCTTTCTCTCTTTCTCTCTCTGTCGTTCCCTGTCTCTGTTTCGCCAGGCAGGGATCCTCAACTTCGGGAGTGGTGATATTCACGCAAGTACGTAACGCATACACCCATTGTAACTCGCGTCTACACGCGGCTTAACGTATATTAATATACACACGGTAAGGGAAGAGGAGCTTCCCGCTTGTTAGTATGCAAGTGCCGTTTCGGTGCCCCTTACGTGGCCTTATTTGCACTCGCGTACGATCGGCGCGCGAAACGAATCGAAATGACCGATCCCTTTTTCGCATGATTTTTTGGAGTGCACCACCTAACTCATGTAAGTACGTTTATAATTCTCGTACGTTCGCGATTCAATATCGCGTGTCTGTGTGTTCTCGTTCTCTCTCTTCCTCTCGCTCGTTCTCTCTCTCTCTCTCTCTCCTTCGTCCCATCGTGTACGTGCGTGTGCGTGTAACGGTGCAGTAAATGGCGGAGGAAGTAAAAGGGCTTTCCTAGTCTACGATGTGCCAGCCGAGAATTGTCGGTATTGTCGTTCCCCTGACATAACCGCCGTTACTTCCCCTCGTTCGTGGTTTCAGGTGAGAGTCGATATTCCAGCTGTTCGTGCGCTTCTCGTTTCTCGGCGTACTCGATATTTCTTGTGTTATACACTATCGGACGATTGCACGATGTAAATACGTCTCTGTACACCTTATTTATTTGGCCTATTACCGCGGTGCAATTTTGTACGCGAAGTTCATTGCACTTAATGCCGTGTTGCACGACACCGTACAGAACGTACCATCGAAGAACTTTACGCATCTTTCAATGAGACCCTATAACCTCAAAATTTACAAATATCAATATTACCATGGACATCGTTCGTCCCAAGTGACTTTGTTAACAGACACAGCAAGAAAATAACATTACAAGAATTTTTACCGGCTGTGAAGAGGGATTTATCGTCATATTTTCGTTTAACGGCGGTATTTCATTTACTATTCATTTCTTACTGCACCTGTTATATTTACGTTATTAACGTTGCATTCGAGGAATTTCAGCAATAAATTTTGTACAATCAGAACAGCATATCTATCTGTACGTTTATCGTACACATTTATTAACAATTACATCATCATAATTTCATGCTTTCGTAATCATTAAACCCATTAAATCGCGAAACATTAACAGAAACATTTTCAACGAACTACGTCGTGCGAATCGTCGCAAGTTTTCACCGCAGACGTTGATCAAAAGCCGAGGTGAGGAAGAAAGCGTGTTGACAAAGTGTAAACGATAGCGGGAGCCGGCGGGGACGAACGTAAAAATGCGAATTTAGTTACTATGTAGGAATTGAAGTGCGCGTAACGTGATAAGGGCTTCTCGTGTGCACGATGCTTAATTAAGTTCTCATTGTATATACGTTGCACAACCGGAATAGAGAAAAACAATCCGTGCGGCTTGTAATTAAGCAATGGATGCGGTTGCGCGTGCTGTGGAACATCACTGTGAGAATAACAATACGCAAAAGGCGGGAGAATTCGTGAAAGAAAAAGGTTCGAGGCAATACACACCGACATTCGCATTCCAGCTGCAACTCCGCGCGAACGAGAGAAGATAGTAACCTTGGCATAGTAAAGTTATCGGAACGACGTAATCTTCTTCCCTATTGAAAAACCCCACCTTGACTCGGTTCTATCAAGCTCGTTAAGCTTTATCAAGCGGCATGTCAACGACTTCGTGAAATTATTTAGTTCGATCGGTTGCTCTCGCGCGTGCCACGCATTATCCGCCTCCCTAACGATATCGTCTCATCCGTCGCGTCCATGTAAACCGGGCGTTAAGGTTGGATAGTCATTTTAGCGACCGATTGATACCATCGTGTCAATATTTTCATTTTATTCGACTTATAGTACGTTTAATATGGGTATATAAGCATAATTCTCGAATTATCGTGTTATTGAAAATTCGTCGTATACATATAAATCAAAATTGATATTACATAAGATATTTAGTAATAAACGGTACGACCAGGAAACTAGTAATGTGTTCAGAAACACATTAAATTTGATCATATTTTGAAAATATTCGTTCGTATTCTAAGGTTAGTAGAAGTAATAGTTTTAATCGTTTGTTTAAAATAAAGATACTAGTTAGATGGACAGTTGCCAGTTTTGACTTGCACGACACCGAAGCCCAAACACACGTGGATCGAATTAACTTGTACGGATTCCTATTTATCGATCGAATTTGCCATTGAAGGAACCTCTCCTATATTCTTACACTGTGGCATGAATTACATTTGAAGCTTCTCGAAAAATCGTCGTGCGTGGTAATTATCTCGGCTAGGGGATCGTCTTCGAGACAATTCTTTGTTTTTTTTTCTCCTGCGCCATTTTAATTAAACCGATCTACGCTTCGTGCCCGCGAATATTTAACATCCCTACGTGCAGCAGCGGATGTGGCATAGACTTTTTACTTGTGGCTTTGTTACACTTTTATTTTCGTCGTTCCTCGACCGTGCCGCTGCTGCACGTTCTTGGCTGATAGAGAGAAAGAAAAAAAAGGGAAAAAAAGAGGGGGGCAAGAAAGCAACTGTCAGTTTCGCTCGTGAATGTGCAACCGGATATTCTCTTTAGTACGAAAAACACTAGCCTGTGAAAGAGCGCCTGTTAATTAACCATCGAACAAACGAACAAGCCCCATAGAGGAGAGTAGTCGTAATTTTGAATTACGACGTATGGTATGGTCTCTCATTTTTTTTGTTGTTGTTCTTTCACCCATCCGTTGTTTGTTTTTCACAGATCGTTCTAATTGAAATTTTAACGAACGCGAGAAATCGCACGGAGCAATCAGAAAACAACAAGAAGGTGTAAAATCGGTAGATTGGATTTTTCAACACGCTTCGTGTTTTACTTTCGCGTCGTTCTCCTAATTAGTTTGGAAAGTTAGTAACCATACAGATTAATGTTAATCGTATAACACTTCCTGTAGATAGCATAATTGCACGTTGCCGTGAGTACCGTGTCTTATTCGTCTTACTTCTGTCGCCGTTATCTAATAGAGATTTGTCTGATATGTTGAATTTTTGTTTTATTAGCATTCAACACGTTAGCCAGGCCATTTATTTGCTTTTAATTTAATTAGACAGCACTCCTACATCGAACCGGTAAATCTACACGCTATTCTTCGCTAATAATTACAATACTCGAGCCTTGACAACACTTCACTTGTGATCAGTCGCTATTAAAATCACATTATCGAGACGCTTGATTATTTATTGGAACGTGTTTCAATGAAAATTTCAAGTTTCATAGTTTATTTATCACACATAATTATCAAGTACCTTGAAAAATCCTCGAATCTTAAATACCGTAATTCCAAGTATCGAATTCCGATCGAACAAAGAAAACGATGAAAATTTTCCATCGATATGTGTTTCAACGAATAATCGATTAGGCGTTGCGTCGATCAGAATAGCACTTTCGCTTGATTAAAGTTCAAGAGGATCATTATACCTACGTGCACTCGTAGGCCGCGGCAAGGTCGACAGATTTAAAAAAGCAAATTCACCTGACTGCCTTCGAGACCACTGTAAACGTCGCGATTTACTCGCGAGCGAGCGTTGCGCGAAACTTTCATCCGCTTCGTGTTCTCGATTCACGGATAAGATCGCCAACGGGGCTGACCCGTAAAAATTAATTACGACCGCTATTTTCACTTTTCTTTGTTCGTTCCTTGTACACCTTGATCCGAGCTTCGTTTTTTTTATTTCTTCCATTTCTTACACGATTTAATTGCTTTTACGACCTTGAAAATTCGACGCGTTATTTTCGCCAAGGAAATACGATATTTGCAGCGTGAAAACAAGAAAGATATGAAATCTTATAGGAATCTTGTTTATCATCGGGTCACGTTGGCGTAGAGATAGAGTAGAAGAATTTATTACAGCTGTTTGACGTTGGAAGAGATTTTCTTAGATTGAACGAGATTTTTACGACGTTACGAACACCGTGTTTTATCGTAATTTGTCGTTGACACTGTTTCTCATAATTGAATGAGAATTTTCGTTACTATTATTGTAGAATCATGAAACAGTTCCATTAAAGCCAAGCCACTGAATCATAAACGTACACTGCTCGAAGCAATTAGAAGCTCGCGTATTCAAATGATCTTGTTACTCGACACGATGCCCCATGTTTCAAACGGTACTTACACCAGACAGACTGTTTTATTCATTACTCGTCCCAACGAGGACACCGAGTTATTAGGAGCCACTTTTTTTTTTTTTTCATAACCAACGCGTGATTCATTCTGCGAAATGTCAATAGAGCTTCGAATAGTGTTACAGTTAGATGCTCGTAAAATTCGTCGAAACTTCGACAATTGTCTTCACTCTTTTCTATATTACGAAGTTAAACATTAACAAATTGCAGTATTTTATCGTTTTTATGTTTGAAATATTTCCTTCATCTTGTACGATATTAAAAAGAGAATATAAATGGTTACATTGTGAGATAAAGGATTAAGTTTGAAATTGTAATTAATTTCAAAACGATCAGATCGCAATGATCACCGAAAATAATTTAAAAAGGCGAAATTTGTATCATTCACATTTTAAAATTTATTATTTCAATATTTTCTTCATTTTTTCAGATATTAAAAAAGCGAATATCAATTATTACCGTATAACGGTAAAGAAAATTGCGAGATAAAGGATTAAGTTTGGAATTATAATTAATTTCGAAACGCAATGATCGCCGAAAATAATTTAAAAAGGCGAAATTTGTATCATTCGCATCTTAAAATTTATTATTTCCATATTTTCTTCATTTTCTCAGATATTAAAAAAGCGAATATCAATTATTACCGTATAACGGTAAAGAAAATTGCGAGATAAAGGATTAAGTTTGGAATTATAATTAATTTGGAAACGATCGCCTAAAATAATCGAAAAAGTCGAAATTTTGATACTTGAAACATTCAGATCTATTATTTCAATATTTTTCCATTTCTTGAAACATTAAAAACAGCAAACACTGATAATTAACGTGCAACGATAAAGAAGTTTCAAGATAAAGGATGAAGTTTCGAGTAGTAATTAATTTCGATACGATCAGATCGCAACGATCGGCGAGAAACTGATCGAAAGCAGACGGATTAACGCTGTCGGAAAAGTTTGCATGCGCATTTTAATCAACGCCAATAACGCGAGATGCAAGTTGATTTAAGCGAAATTTACGAGCATCCGCGGGTATTCACCGCGGTAATATACGCGAGTTAATATTTCGTCCGTTATAATAAGCGCGGGGCGATAAAGACGTCTGAGCACCGTGGAAATTGTTTGCGCAGAAGAACGTGAAAGAGGAATAATGGTTCAATCGAGAGGAAAGTAAAATCCTGCCGTCATCCTGGCGCGTGGCAAACCAGGCCAAAGGCCTGGATCCTCATCCTCCTCGTCCTCGTCCACGGAGAGGCTGCAAAGGATGCCAGGACCGGCTCAAGAGAGGCCTCGTGCTCAAAGGCTTACCGACATCGAGCCTCAGACTGCAAAGGTGAGTGAATCAATTCTTTCATTATCCGTGGCCGTTTTCGCAAATTTTCTCTTGCATTCTACAATTAAACGAGAGAGAAGATATTTTTTCGTTTTTGAGGTTAGGAAAGAGTAAGATGAATCAAAGGAGAGGGAAATTTTGTTCTTTGTTTCGTGAAATTCGCGGTGTTTCTTCGTCAGATGTACCTTTGCTGTTTTAAATTCGACGAAAATAACGATGTTACGAGATTTTAATCGTTACGAATATTACGCAGGGTGCTTCGAAGAAATTTTAACCCCTTTGTGGAAAGTTTCTACGTTCTCTTTCATATTTTTTCTTTTTTTTCTTCTGAGAATGTCAATGATGGTAAACAAGCGGAGATTCTTTGAAAACAAGATACACTTGCGAACATGCTATTGACATTTTTTTTTTTTTTTAAGCTGCCTGTTTTCTCCTTAGCTGAAAATGCGTATTCGTTGGAAATAGTATATAAACATTGTACGGTTCGACGACGAAAACAATCGTTGAAAGGATATTGCGTGGTAAAGATTGAATAATACGAGTGTACTAAACAGTGAAACTTCGTAAAAGTGTACGAAATAGTTTCCTGGAAAAATGAGTCACGATTACGCAAACAATTACTAGTTTTCAACTAGTAAATCGTAATCCAAGTCGTTACAAAAATATTCTACGGTAAAAGAATGATTTTGTAAAATTTCAGCGACGCGTTGGACGTCGACGAACATTTCTCGCCTCATTTTCAGCCTTAGAATTTCAATCGACGTATTAAGCTCACGTAGAAACGTGCGAAGGAAGATTTCACGCGGACACGTCTCGAGACGGAGAGTTGCAACCTTGATTTACCTTGATCTTCCCTTTCATTCTCGTTTCACATCTCGATGATATCAGCCGGTTTTCTGTTAATTACTCACGCGGTCCTCGCTTGGTATAGGTCGGAAACCGCACGTCTCTCCCTTTCCTCCTCGCGTTATTTTAACGTTAATCTCCATTTTTCTTTTTTTTTTTTCCCCTCTTATTCTTCAATTATTTCTTCATTCAGCTTTCTCCGATTCCTCACGTTTTATACTTTCTCTTTTTACCAGAGGGGGGAAGTACGATTTCTTCCACACACGCGTACACACACACACAGAAACAGCTATATCTCCCTTATAACGTCTTCCATCAATTTATCATTCCATTTATCATCTTATTCTTCGTTGATCCTCCCGGTTGAATAAAATAAATTAAACCTCCCGGAGTTTCCAGTCAAACTCTATGCACATGTACCGGCTCGTTAATTTTTCCCGTTTGTCCTTTACTCGCCGCAATATCGTTTCTCCTCTTTTCTTTTCATAGTCGCGTGGACCGAGGAGCAAGAAACAGAAGCGTTTCATAAAGCTCAACTATGGCATTCCGATGCCAGCGAAGCAAATAAAAGCGGTTTATTCTAACGGGGATGGAGGAGGGAGGGACAAAAGATTTCAGCTTTCTCCGTTGCTTTTCCATCTTACACTCGGTGTTTTCCTTAGAGTCTCCTCCTCCTACTTTTCGCCGATAACGGACCGTTGTTGCTCTTTGCTCGCGCTTTTCGTCCCGTGGCTCGTAAAGTCGCTTCAAACAGAGAATGCGGAAGTTGCTTCTATTTCGCTCCGGTCTCGTTCGTCCATCTCGCTAGCGTGAGAGCAAATCGATAGGCTTTGCCGCCACCGTCGTTCCTATACAACTCTCTCGCTTCCTCTAACCGGTGTACACGTAAGCACGTTGGTGCGTACCAACATCCTCTCCTGGAACACCCATCCGTTCCACGGAAGCCTTCTATTTTCCTTGCCCGAAGCGTTAACCCTTCGACTGCCGGCGCAAATTAAGTTGCCACACGGCGGAGAGGAAAAAATGGAAAATCCATCGAGATCCCCCTCGAGGAAGGCCCTTCACCTGTTATTTACACCCCGGGCTGCGCGATTTTTCGATGGTGATTGCCGCATAGTGATTCGAACGATTCTGAGATTTTAGGTTAGGTTAGGTGGATCTGTTTCTTTTTTCTTCTTTTTTCTTTTGGATGGTTTTGTTGTGCGGAGATATCGGAGGATCGAAGAATTGTTCTTGTAACGATGGGAGTGATTAGGTGGTGAATGGTATTTAGGTTAGATTGAAATGGAACTTATCAGGTATCGAATTATTTTTTCGAATAGTGAATGCATTTTTGCGATCGATTGGGATTGATTTTCTCATTTGCGTTGTATCTTAATTCTAGAATGACGCATGGTTTGTTGTCATAGTGATAGCGAAAAAGTTATTTTTACCAAATGATTGAATTTATCAATAAATTACATTACACAACTACTTTCTTTTTAATTAATGAAAGTGTTATATTCAGGATGACACCATAGCTTTTTGTTTTTTTAAATCGTTACATTTTATTGCTGTACCTGTTATAAAAATGATAGAAGAGAATGTACTTTACCATAAAATACACCGACAAAATTTGCATATAAACTTCTGAAACTGTTTTCTCAAAAATTGAACTTGCACCATTCGCAAGAAATGGCTGTTAACTATGTTTCTTGTGGGATCGTTGTGTATTTTGCTAAGGAATTAAGCTGCTTGAGCTTGGTATTCTGCTGATTGTTTTGAGTGTGGTATTTCGGTGCAGAGTAAAGAAACAATTATGATAATTCAGACGGTACTATTTAGCACGATATTTAGGTTGCATACTTAACTACGCTAACAAACAACAAAGTGATTTTAATTCGAATTTTATTACCTCCGGATCAATTTTCTCCGTTATTTCCATTGGAATTATTATCTATCCTAAATAAACAAACAACAGATCAATGATAAATTAGTAGGTCAATTTTCGTTTAACAAGTTGCAGAAGTATTCTAATGATTCGTGTACGTTTCACATTGTAGCCGTCGTAGAAGTGTCACCGAGTCAAATTTGCCGAGCATTTAGATAACGTACGAAGGAAATTCCGGCGAACCTGAGAATAGAATATTTTATCAAGGAGGTGTATATCTCTAGACGAATCAGATTTATCAGAAATTCCTTGGTACTCTCTCTGGAAGAGGAGGAGGATCCGCTCAATTCTCTCGTATGAATCATTAAATCGTTGTGAATGAAAGATAACGTGAATCACGGAGAAAGATCATGAGTCACGGTGAAAGCGATCGAGCATTAATCAAAACGCGTCTACGTGTATATATATGTATTTACAAGGAAGATTCTGGTCTTTTGACAAAAGTAACGAACGTGTAGAAAAATTTACGACTCCCAGATTCGAATTTATTTCATTGTTACGCGATACGGAGGGATCCTATCTTTTACCATCTGACAAATTTCCGATCGCCAGTCAACGTGTTCCCCGTAACATGTGGGTCACCGAATGGCCTACAAAAGTCGTCAAAAGTAAAACCTCCCGTTACGGTAGTAGAAGAAAAGGAAAATGTTCAATTTGACGAGTAAAAGTAGCTTTTAAAAGACGAAAATCTCAAACATTTAGTCTAACGATCATTTTAGGTTTTTCCATTCACACTCACTTTTCTCTTAGAATTTTTCTTCGCTTTCCAACACGGTTGATATCCATTTATTTCTACTATCCAGAGCTTTCCTCTCGGTAACATTCACTCGAGTAAAACCTGAATACGATAAAAAATTAAAATCTCAAACATTCAGCTGAATTATCACTTCACCGTGTGTAAAGTGTTTAATGAAACATTCCAACATAGACTTTTCACTTGGATCTCAAGCTTCGCCAAAACGTTCACTTTTCTCTCGCAAATTTTCTCCACTTTCCAATACGGCAGAGAATTTTCATAATTACCGTAATATCAGACGATATCTCCCTTTATTCAGCTCGGTTAATTACTTCACCGTGCAAAAGTGTGGTAATCCAATATTTCAATGTGGACGTTTCACTTAGATTTCAAGCTTCACTCGAAAACGCTCACTTTTCTCTCCGGTACAGTAGAATTTCGACGTATTACTCGGAATTTTCCGAGTTGGATAAAATTTCTATGTACCGGTTTCTGTAAAATTACATTTAAACGGCGCGATTGAATAGTTGAGGGAGTCCCTAGTCACAGGTTGAACGCTCGTGGTGCCGATCCAATTTGTTCAAAGTGAAAAAGGGAGGAAAGTGAAGCGATCGCAAGGGATTCTAATTAATTTAACAGAAAGTTAATGCGTTCTGGTGACTAAGCCGTGGAACGCGTTCGCCAGGCGTGCTGTGCAACGTGTTTTCTTTCGCAGATGTTCTTTTTTCATCAACGACCGCTTCTCCGCGGCGTCGAATACATATGTCGGCCGGTTTCTTGCCGGGTCCGTAAGCTCTCCTCTGCGTACTTGTTATTTTAACGGGAGCTGGGCTGGCTGGCTGGCTGGCCCGAGGCTCTCCTCTCCTCTCCTCGCGGACGTTTAAACGAAGTTCACGCGTTCAGCTTCGAAAGTGCACACGCGACCGTATTAATTAAGACTCTCTTGCCCATTATTATGCGTATCCATTACGCTTCGCGTTGGAAGATATTCAACAAGGAGCCGGTACGTACCACGTCTGTCGAATAAGGAATACGGTATTCACTGAACTAGTTTCTTGTTTCAGTAAATCGTGTTACGTTTCTTCGCCGGAGCGACATGCCGGTAGACAAAGTGGACGCGCGAAATTTCCTTTTACTCCTTTATCCGTCACCATCTTCCATTTCTTGTGAAAACAAGAGAAATGAAAAAGAAGGAGGAAATATGTAGTAGAACGTTTCGGTCGAGAGAAATGGATTAGGTTTTCGTTTATTTTTTTTTATTTTTTTTATTTTTCTGCGGGATAAATCCATTCAGATGTAGAATTGTAAATAGATAAAGGATTGGGATTAGTTGGGAAATGTGAAGATCGTAGGGTGAATAGAGAGAATGTGTGGAATATGGAAAGGTTCGTTGTAAAGAAAAAATGAACGATCAAGTTTTTTTTTTTTGAGGGATAAATCCATTCAGATGTAGAATTGTAAATAGATAAACGATTGGAATTAGGAAAT